ATTTTTTCTTAAAGTTTTGAGGGTCTTTTTGGTTTTTTGTTTTTGCTGTTTTGGTGACCTGAAGCACGTTCTGTTGTTTATTACCCTTCCCCTGATGTCAGAGGCAATGATCCCAACGGTGGTTTTGCTTTGTTCTCTCTGGTTCAGTTGGGTGAACCCTTGGTAAACTGGTGAGCCAAAATATTTGTGACAACTCCATTCTGTAATTGCAAATAGTGCCCTCATTATATAAGTGTTGTGAAAATACATTATAGAAATCAAAATTTTTTGTTTCTTAGTACCACTTTTAAGTGTTTACTTCTTTTATATTTTTTTATTTAAGCTTCCCAAGGCAAGCAATTGTATTTTTTTAAGCTTTCATTTAAATCATTAAAAATTAAACTGAGAATTCTGTTTATAAAGTTTAGAGGTAAACATGTTGGCATACTCCTATAATTCTACCATTCTGTAGGCCAAGGCAGGAGCATCACTGCAAGTTTGAGACCAGCCTGGGCTACGTAGTGAGTTCAAGGCCCGCCTAAACTACACAGTGAAAACCTGTCTCCAAAAACCAAAAAAAGAAAGAAGAAAGAAAGGGAAAGAGGGAGGGTTTAGATAAAAATAAAAAGGAATTGAGTGAAAACTAAGCTATAACTTAATCATGGGAAACATTTTATGGTGCATTTCACTAGCCATTTTCATGCTTTCTGGAGACATTAAAAGCAGATTATTTTCCACAGTACTACTTTAAATTTAAAAAGTTTACCTTAATCTTAATTTGCTTTAAACTTTCTGTCAAAGAGCTTTAGAATTAAAAGATACAGTATGATTGTTTTATAGGTAAATATAAGATTTTCATCCTCGTAATTTATATTTTTCTAATAGTGCTTAATTTTTAACACTTTTGAATGTTGACATTTTAGCATATAGTCTCCAGATAACTTCTTCAAGTGGTTCTATGTTTTGAATATGTATATCTGCCAGGCACAGTGGTGCATGTCTATAATCCTAGCTTCTGTAGTAGGATCATTACAAATTGAAGGCCAGCCTGAACTGAATGCATGAAAGCTGGTCTCAAAAAGACCAAGGGAGTGACGAGTGTATTTCAGCCATGTGATATTTTTGGCTTTAGAATTAGAAGGTAGGGGTTTAAAGAGGTCTTTCCCTAAATGTTCTATTGAGACAATAGATCTATTAAACTGTTTTCAGTTTATGAACCATAAAAGAACATGATTGTGATGTGGGTTATATTGACTTAATAGCTGACAATTCAAATGGCAGTGTTAGTAGAAGGACTTCAGTGTAACTGAAAGTTGAGATATGGGTGCTTTTTTCTTTTGTTTTCACAAAAAAGGTCTGCCCATTTTGCTCACATCCTAGTTTACGGAGCCAAAATTTAAAATTCACAGAGCCAAAATTTGCTTAATTTATTAGCTATTTAGTTGGAATTCATAGTATAGTGGAAAATGTTTGCAGATGATCCTGTGCAATAGTAGAAACTTCAGTTGCTTCCTCATATTTCTTCAGGGCAGTGATCACAACCAGATTCAACGTATGCACAAAGCAGCGGATACCATGGTAGCGGCCGTCGCTGATTGCTTTTACCATGTTGGATCCATTGTCAGTCTCAAAGACCTACTTCCAGCTAGGTGCCTTGAACTCAAATAGCTTTTCACACAGACTTCAGGATGTGAGCTAAGGTATGGCCTTTTTTCATGAGCCTGGGCCTACATATGGGTTGGCAGTAACCTGCAACTTTTATAGAACAAAACTACTCACTGTAGTTCCATGGCAACAATGAATAGTTGCAGTCACTAGTAGGCAGGTAGTGTGTGTGCTTCATGTATTCAAAATGCTGCCATCTGTTGGAGATTCTTTTTTTTCTGTGTGTTTTTTTCTGAGATTATCAAAGTAGAAATTTTCATTAGAACCTGTCTAAAATGTCTAAACATATCTACTTCATGATTCAGCCGTATCTTAAAGTGTACATAATCATTTCTTATATGCATTTGGTGTAAAACGTTTCTTTATACTTTTGAATTCTCACACTTTTTAAATTTTAATTTTGGTTTAAAAATTACTATCTTGTTCATACTATTTTAATAATCTCCTAATGTTTTGAAAACTAGAATTAAGAATTTTCTACTTAGAAATTGGGCTTGAAATTTGCAGTCAGTGGTTTTTCAAGGATACATCCTATATGTCATGTGGTTAATACAATAAATTCCTAGATTATATTGATACAGTTCACACTCTATGTGAGACCTTAATTTTTATCAAGGGGGAAAAACACCTTTTCTGGAAAAAATGAGCTTCACTTGCATATCTTCCTTCTTTGCTTGGCAAAATGCATTTTTTAAAAAGTGAAATCTTTACTAAGAGTATGGTAGTTTAGCAGGTTAATAACAGATTAAGAAAATCATCTTTATTTTGTTACTGACAAAACCACAACTTTTTTCTCAAGCAGCTTATTATAATTTGGTGGCCCTAGTACTAAGAATGCTTTTAGGTTTAGCAGTAGAGAATCATCTGTAGTTGGGAGGATAGTAAAGTCTTTGTAAATTCAAAAAGGGTATTGAGGAGCGCTTTCGCACTTCACTTGACTCTCAGTATTCATGCTCACTTCGGCAGCACGTGTAGTAAAATTGGAATGATTCTCAGTATTTAACACTGTTAACAGTTTTTTGACAAATTCAGTTCAAAATCTGATTAAACTCCTCTGCCAGAATCATTTCTTTATTAAAATGACCAGCTTAACTGTACTCTCTATTTTATTTTGTGGCTATAAAAGATAGCAATATTTTACTTGACTATAGCAGTAAAAGTGTCTATATTTCAATTCTAAAGCATTCATTGTACTCTCCTTAAATACACATTCAAGTACATTATCCACATACCTATACACACACAGATGTTGATAACTGAAATGGTCTAGAGTGCATGTGCCAACCGGTTCCCTGCATGTGGACATGTGTTCTCTGTGACTTCTTACATTCTCAGAGAACGTAAAAGCAGAACGTAGAGGAGAAGGGGAAGTGATTCATGAAGTGTCTTGCCAGGTGAGATACAGTATATAACTTACAGTTAGGAATGTCTGTGGGTGAGTTTTTTCACACACTGTAGGAACCAAATTGAAAACACATGAATGATACTATATACATTTCTTCTTGCTGCCTACATAAGTATCTTGTTTTACTACTTATTATCTATCTCTTGTCAAACATTGCATTTCTTCTGGTCAGATTTTTACCTTCGTGATTAAGGTTCATTTGTACATAGGTGACATATTATTTTATAGATTCTTCTACATTCTTTTGTGTTTACATTCTTTAAGACTCCATGCTCACTCTATATAATAGTATTTTAAGATAATGATCAAGTCCTTTTGTTAATAGGTGTACAAGTAAAAAAAAATACATGCTGTATAGTTCAGATTGTGTCAGCATAATATTTTAAACTTTTTTACATATGATTTGGGTTTGTTTGAAATATATTTAATGAATGAAAGTACAAATTTTTTCAGTTAAGAAATTAAGTGGTAAACATGTATTGTGTAGCTAACATGCTAGGAGTTGAAAAGGAAGAAAAAGAAATGTTTAGTTGTGATTTTTAGTGAGTCTTACATAATTTAAAGAAACATTTAGATGTTCTCTATACTAAAACTTTGCTGTAAAACAACCTGTTAGAACAGTTTGATATAAGACTGGGCATATGGTGTATGACTGAAAAATAGCATGAATATTTTAAAATTTTAGTGTAGCAAAAATTATATTGCCATTAATTTCTCTCAAAGTAATCCCTCTTTCTTCAAACATACTTATTCCATTGTTGTTGGCCGCTCCAAAGTAGTTGTTGAAGTCCTCGTTCATGTTTCATGTTGTGGCTCCCTCAGTTCCTGAATCTATTCAAGATATTTACCTTTTGTGATCATTTGACTTTGAGAAGAACCAGGAGTTGCATGGTGCCAGATACATAATACTGGGGGCCTCCCTTTCTGTTGTGTGGATGCTGTAGTATTCTACATAGTTCTGATCACACCTTGGAAAAACACAAAAGCGGATTTCTAGAACTGCTTCAGAAGGTGACTGGACTAATGGGATACGTGTGCTTGAAGCAAGAGGGAATATTTTGGAAGGGATTAACCGGCGCTGTGTCTTTTACTGTAATAAATTTTTTAACCAACCTTTCATTGCACATACCTATAAGCCCAGCATTCAGACTGAGCCAGCAGGATTGCTGCAAGCTCAGGGCCACCCTGGGCTACATAGTGAGTTCAAGACCAGCCTGAAGTACATAGCAAAAACCGTGCTTCAGAAAACATCATCATCACTATGTAATGTAAACATGTACTAGTAAAAGTTAAGAGAAAGAGCAAGAACAACAAAAAGAAAGTTAATGTAGACATTCATTGTGTAATTTGATCACCCTTTTTTTATAGGTCCTAAAAGTGATAGTGAGATGATTTGTGTTCTAAAAATAATATGTAGTGTTTAGCAGAAAATTCAGTGTATAGAAGCACATTTTGGTAAGATAACCAATAGTGAACCTACATCCTACTCTGAAATTATTTCATAGAAATTAATATATTCTTAAGTAGTTTCACAACTAGAATTTAAAAACTGTGTGTGGTTCTTTTGATTCTTATGTCTTAGAAAGTCATTTGTTACTACTTTAAGCAATAGAAGTGAGTTTGCTTATTGTAGATATTTCTAATTAAATATAGTTGTAAAGATGTAAAGAACATGTCAGGTAGCAGGATATTTTAGAGCATGACATTTGTATAATCTTTATCTTTTTATCTTTTTAACTAGAACTTCCTGTAACTTTATTAGCAAGAAGTAGCTTGTAGTTTGAAAAGCAACAAGGAACCTAATTTAAACTACTCCTGCTATAGATCATATAGGACAAGTGTCATACACACTCATTTATAGCCAGTGTTATCAATTTATGGAGGTACTGATTTTCAGTCCCAAGAACTTAATTTTTCTTGCATTTTCTTTCCATATTAAAAAAAAATTCAGATCTAAAAGGGAAAATGTTAAAACAGGAGTGAAACCAGACGCCTCTGATCAAGAACCAGAAGGACTTACTCTTTTGGTACCAGACATCCAAAAAACTGCTGAGATAGTTTATGCAGCTACCACCAGTTTAAGGCAAGCAAATCAAGGTATGATCCATTCCTCTTATGTTACCTTTCATTTAATGCAAGATAGCTCATTTACCTATATAGAAAACTGACCTTTCCTTCCTATTGTGTTAATAGGCAAGTGCATTTACTTGCAAAGTTTGTTCTCTGCAAGGTTTTGTTCATGAATAATTTGTAATTTTAAAACAACAGCATGCATCTTAAATTTCTTATGAATTGAAAAATGCTATTTTGTTAGATAAGAAATGGGACATTAAGACTATGTATAAGAATTTAGATTAAATTGACATTTAATGTAACAGCAGCAGATACTTTTTCATGTGTCAGTTCACTTCTTTGTTTCTTTGTTTTTTAAAATTGATTAGATTGCCAGGCATGGTGGTGCGTGCCTGTAATCCCAGCACTTGGGAGGCTGAGACAGGAGAATTTCCATGAGTTTGAGGCCGGCCTTGAACTCACTTCTGTATTAGCCTGAACTACATAAGTGAGTTCAAGGCCAAGCTAGACTACACAGTAAAACCCTGTCTCAAAATAAACAAATAAATAAAGTTGGTTAAGTGATTGCTTGTTACTGTGTTTATGAAATAGAAATCCTTTGTTCTCAAAATGGTAAAATAGGAAGATGGTAATGGAGAGTTTGATGATCTTTTGTGATTTAAAATTTGAATCTCAAAAACAAATTGTTTTTAATCTTCAAAAATAAACACTTACATTATTTATTTTGAAATATTAAATAACAGAAAAAAAACTAGGTGAATGCTCAAAGAAGGTGGCTATGAAACCCAAACCTTTATCAGTATTAAAATCGCTTGAAGAAAAATATGTGGCTGTTATGAAGAAACTACAGTTTGGTAAGTTAAAAATTTTCGTTCATTCAGATCTCATTTTCTTCTTTTGAATTTACATCTGTATAGTAATATAGTACTTGTATTTGGAAAAAAATTGCAACTACAGTAGAAAGCCTATAGAAATCTAAGTAAGTCAAAGCACAACTGTATGTCTACAGAACAGAAAGATCCTCCTTCCTTTTCTTTCTACACTCCTACTGTGTCTCGAATCTAATCCAGGTCTCACACAGGCTTTATAAATACTCCAGCGCTGGCTCTACCCCACCCCTGCCTGTTACTGTCATAACTCTCCATTTCATACATCCTGGCCTACAGGAAACTAAAACATGGAACTTTTAATAATTTATTACTCTTTTTCTTTTAGAGTTCCATGAGAGGCTTCTTTAGAAAACACATGTATATATTTTAACTTTATTTATCTATCTATCTATTTTGTTTTATTGTCTTTTCTGACACAGGGTCTAGAGGCTGGTCTTGCGCTCACTTTGTAGCCCAGGCTGGTCTCAAACTCGCAATGATCCTCTTGCCTCTGCCTCCCGAGTGCGGGATTACAGACATGCACCACCACACCTGGCAAGAAAACCCTGTTAACCTAGCCTAGTTTTAGTGTTTTCCATTCTAAAATTCTTTTTTTTTTTTTTTTTTTGTTAATTTAAAGAAAGATTAAACAAAACAGAAAATAGGTAGAAATAGTATATACATTCAGAGAAAAAAAAAAGAAATCACTAGTTGATGTCGTTTTACAAATAGTTATTCAAGGTACAAAAATGGAACATGTACAGTGGGAATTCAAACAGGGAGACTGCAAAAAGTTCTAATCAACTGTCCAACAAAAACTTAGTAACATGGTTGTCAATTCTATACTTTTAAACATACATGCAGTTATCCATCTCTTCATTTATGTTTAGATTTTTTTTCCCACTCTAGATAAGCTCAAAAAGTTTAGATTAAACAAACTAAAGCAGGTTAAAATCATTTTGAACAAAGAATAATAGTATTGCTGAATTTCACTTCATGACACTCCATGATCAGCACTGGGTACTGTAGTGTCTTCTTTTTAAAACTGAATTTAAAGAAAGACTAAAAAAACAGAAAACGAGTAGAAATAATACATAATTTCAAAGAAAAATAAACAGTAGTAAATCACTAGTTGATGATTAGAGATTTTCTTCTTACAAACAGTTATTCAAGATACTAAACTGGAGAATATAAAGTGGGGATTCAGACAGTGAGATTGCAACCAGTTCTGTTCAACTGTCCAACAAAAACTTAGAAATATGGTTATCAGTCCTCTACACTTAAACATATATGCAGTTACTCATATCTTCAATTATGTTGACTTTCAATAAACCCAAGCAGGCTAATATCACTCTGAACAAAGAATAACACTATTGCATTTGTTTTGTTTTTTTGTCTTTTTCATTTTTATCGGTACCAAGGATCGAACTCACGACCGCCTGCTTACAAGGCAGGTGCTTATGCCGCTGAGCTAAATCCCCAGCCCCGAATAACACTATTGCTGAGTTTCACATTATGACACTCCAGGATCAGCACTGGGTATTTTAGTGTCTCCTTTTCTTCAAAGTATCTGTTCATTTCATCAACTGTCATAAGATCAGTTCTCATAAACTGTTCATAGATTCTACACATGCATGGGTCTTAACATGTATTTTTTTTTTTTTAGTTTTGAAAGTAGCAATTATGCAACAGCATAAGACAGAACAAAGCCAATCGAGACAATGCAGTGAAATTGGTACAGAATTTCACAGTAGGATACTGGGATAGTAGTACTAAGTACTATGGTATATCTCTTTAATTTAACAATAGCTATCCAGTCAATTAAGTATTGTAAAATCAAACTAAAAATAGAACATTGTAAAACCAATTAAGAATACTGAATAAAGCAAAAGAAATATAACAAAAAGTGAAAACAACCTATGCCTTCAAACAGAAGATAGAAGGAAATCCCCCATATTTGCTATACTGCATATGGTCATCCTCCCAAGAGATGTTGAAATATCTGTTCCCAGTAGGTAAGGGGGGAGGGGGCAGGTGGGAGAAAGGTGCTTGATTTTCAGCTCCCTAACTTAGAAGTTGGCTCACAGGTAATGGTTCACCTCCAGGCCCAAACTGCAGGTGCTTATCAAGAGGGCAGGTGAATAAGCTGCCCGAATCGCTCCATGGCCGGAACTCTGGAGCTCTGTTCTCCTCCTGGCCCGTGATGCAGACGCTTACCAAGAGCGTGGGTGAATAAGCTGCCTAAATCCCTCCATGGCCAGAACTCTGGATTCTAAAATTCTTGAAAAGGACTACTGTAAAGATGATACCAGTACTTTTCATAAGGTGTACATCTCTAATATAAGTACACACTTAAATTCCAAATTTAGGTAACTGTTTATTAATAGTCACCTGTTTGCTTCCTTTTCATCCTTGAAAACTAGCCCAAGGTACTTTGACTATATCAGAAACAACACTAAATTAGGGTTCAGAAAATAATGAGTTTTTTTTTTTTAAATCATACTTTGAAATCTCAGTAGAAATCATGTAGCTTTTGCTGTACTTAACCCTCAGGTTTTCCAAAAAGATCTCAAGAGATAATATACAAAAAAGTAATATATACTTCAGATTTGGGGTATAGTGTACAGCTGTTGCTTAAGTTTGACAATTTAGGATGTTCTCTTCACTCTTCTTGTGTTAACTTGTTTTTTCAAAATAATATTTCTCCTTTTAAAAGCTAATACTTTATTTGGTTATATGCGTTTGATTAAGCATTATTATTATCTTACTGTTTCCATGGGTTTGGAGTTTTGTGTGCCATCTCTCTGCTGAGGTTTTTGTCAGCAATCCTGCTGGAGCAATAGTCATCTAAAGTCTTTGCTTTCAGACTCATTTGTGAATTTGTTGATACGAGGCTTCAGCTTCTTGTCTACTTACGACTTCTTGGTTGTGTGGCATAGAAAGGTGACATATCCTCCTCACAAGAGCAAATAGAAAGCCTACTAGTGCCTTCGATGTATGACCTAATCCTGTAGGCTATATAGCATTACTAAGTGTTCCACATTCAAAGATAGGGAAATTCATACTGTTTCTTTTTTTTTTTTTTTTTTTTGTCTTTTTCATTTTATATCGGTACCAGGGATCGAACTCACGACTGCCTGCTTGCAAGGCAGGCGCTTATGCCGCTGAGCTAAATCCCCAGCCCCCATGCTGTTTCTTTAAGAGTATGTTTGAGAAGAGATCTTAAAATGTGTTTGTTTATGTTAGAAGTAAATATTTCATTAATGAGGCCAGGGATGGGGTCAAAATATTGATCTTTAGGTTTTGTTTTACCTATGGGGTCATAAATATCATGTCTGTTACTGACTTTTCATATAACTTAGCAGTGTTTCCACACTGTTAACTAAAAATCGTTCACTGATGTTGCTTCCATTATGTGTTCTATCTATCCAATAGTGTTAACACACAGGCAGATGTAAGCATTTCTACTTTGAATTTCTTACACAGCGATACTGTCTCCATTTGGGGTGGAAGATTACTAGTGATTTGTTTGTGATCTATGTTATTATATTAGCTGTCTTCCCTTTTAACCCAGTTATGATTCTCCTTCCCTTTTTACCCAGTTATGATTTTTCTTCTTACTTTAGATACATTTGAAATGGTTTCTGAAGATGAAGATGGGAAATTGGGTTTTAAAGTAAATTACCACTACATGTCTCAGATGAAAAATGCAAATGATGCGAACAGTGCTGCCAGAGCCCGCCGCCTTGCCCAGGAAGCTGTGACCCTTTCAACCTCACTGCCTCTGTCTTCATCCTCCAGTGTGTTTGTACGCTGTGATGAGGAACGACTTGACATTATGAAGGTGAAAACAAAACTTGGCTCCTGTCTCCCTGGTTAACCTATTTACTCAGATATTGATACAGAGTACCAGAAATATGAATTTTTAAAAATTTTTAATAGAAGTTTTGGTGACCACTTTAGACTTTATTGTTAGTTCTGGATATATGAATCACACTGTTACGCAAAATAAAATTTAGAGAAAAATTACAAAAGGTGGCCTTTTTATATATGGCCAGTTTTGGAGCATAGTGCCATAGGACTTAATGTTGATTATTAGGAAAAAGTGGCAAGATTTCTTCCAAGTTGACTTAGTCCTCCTACTTTTTACAGTATAAATCTTCAAAATTTAATCTTTTCTGGGAAGCTTTTGTATTTATAAATGCATAAGGTCTATGAATAAAGTAATGGCAATACAAAAATATGTAATGTTTATGTATGTTTTATACCATGGTGACCTGATCATAAATTCCAAAAAAAAATCCTGATACGACTTCACATTTATGATTTAATTGAAGGGTTAAGTATTCTTAACCCTCAGGTAGATAGCTAAAACTTTTGACCCATTGACTTCTGGCTTTTTTTTTTTTTTCTTGCTTGTTTTGTCATTTCAGTAATTTTTTTTCTGCAGAACTCCCATAGACCTTGTTATTTGATCACATTTGATTTTTTTTTTTTTCTTACAAGCCCTAGGACCCTTTAAAGATTATTGCCGAGGCATGTACTTTTATCACTAAATGACCCACAGGACTTCATATTTGTGGGCTTTCCTCTGTTTAGTGTCTTGTACCTGAATGATCCCAGCAAAGAGTCCCATACCATAAATCAGATTTGTCACATGTTGAAGCTCTAAGGCCACTTGCCTCAACACACAGCTCTTACTGTCAAAAGACTTTGTTGATTTTAGGTTACACACTAAATATCTTTTGGATGACTCATGAAATTTACAAGTAGTTATTACATTCATTGTTAGGTCTTCTGCTATCTTTTGGACTATTACTAAGAGAAACACCTAGTATTTTTTCTAGTTCTTTTTGTCATGTTATATGAGAACATTTGTCCTGTTACCTATTTGACATTATTCATTATCCTAGAAAGGATATAAAGGAATATAAAAAAAGCTGTTTCTTATGTAGTACCTTACCTGAAGATTTAAAACAGATACCTTCATACCTTGAGATAGAGTAATCTGTATAGAATCTCAAATTGTTGAAAATATTATAAAGTCATGAGGTTTTCCAGAAAAAGTGATTTAATGATTTAAAGAATATTTGATAGGTAAACTTTCTTGCTGCAATAGGCCTTTTTGATTTGGTTTGACTTTTTGTTTTGTTTTGTTTTTCAACTTTTGAAACAGCATCCTACTGTGTAACTCAGGCTGAACTTGATTCACTGTGTAACCCAGCCTGGCCTCAAATTCATGCTGATCCTCCTGCTTTTACCGCATCATCTCTCTGCCTCAGCCTCCTGAGTACTGAAGTTACAGGCAGGCAGCACCTACCCAGCAAGGCATCTCTTTTACTAACCCATTTCTGTCAAAACCAAGTCACTAATTCTAATCCAAAAGCCATTTCCTAGCCCTGTGTTTATTTTCTTCTGACCTGTATATGATAAAAATACAACTTCTGATTTCATTTTAACATACTCTGGTAGAGGTGTTTATTGACCACCAGGAAAGGATTCTTATTTCATGTGGTGTTTTCCATATTTTATGTGACGTTTTACTTTGCTAAATACCAGAATAGTGACACGAGTCTTTTTTGTGTTCTTTTACATACCAGGTTCTGATAACTGGGCCAGCTGACACCCCCTATGCAAATGGCTGCTTTGAGTTTGATGTGTATTTTCCTCAGGATTATCCAAGTTCACCACCTCTTGTGAATCTAGAGACAACTGGCGGCCATAGTGTACGATTCAATCCAAACTTGTACAATGATGGCAAGGTAGCGTAATTGCTGTCTTTTGTTTCTAATGCCAATGTATTGAATCCAAAGATCCTTTATGATTTGAACAAAATTTTGTTTTACTTATCTTTATATAAGAGGACATGGGTTTCTTCATGCTTTGCTTCCCAGTGTACAGTTTTACATGACAAATAAGAGAAAAGGAACTGAGAAGGGCAAAAACACTTTAGTATTAAGCACTTGACGTATTAAGAATTACCAGTAGACAAACTTACGTGTCAGATTCTGTGGCAGCTGCTGAAAGATGTGCTCCCTTACGGCACTGCACAGCCCGTGTCTGTCTTGGCCTGTTAGCTTTAATTTCTGTGTCTCAGTCTAGTCAGTCTCTCACAAATGCCTGAACGTTGACAAAAAACAAAATCATGGCACCGTCAGCACTCTTGCTTTGCATATTGCAACATATTTTGCTATCAAAACCACCTTTATGTTCCATGAGAAAAAAATTGTGAACCTGTTTTTAACAGTTTTTATTAATATTTTCATTTTTCATGTAAAAAATTTTGTCATAAACGAAACTGAGCAAGAGAAGAGATACAACGAAAATCATGTCACCTGGTAGAAAACCTTTAAAAATTAGGTTTAAAGTAACAATCATAACTTTTCAAAATAATTTTGGACAGTTTGGTGGAATTTCAGTGGGAAGTTCCATGTTTAAAACTTAATGTTTAGAAACCATCACACTATGAGAAAAAATACATACACTTGATAAGCAGATACTTTTTTTGTTGGTGAGAACAGCATTTATTTGAAGGAATCCATTTTAATCAAGAGTGACCCTAAGTTTTCAATTGGTTTTGCCCTCTTAACTTGGAATAGGTCAACCTGCTTGGATTTGTAGTTGCTGTGCTACCATTTTTTCTTCATTAGGTCATATCAAAAAGGTTAGAATTCAGGGTTGGGGATTTAGCTCAGCGGCATAAGCTCCTGCCTTGCAAGCAGGCAGTCGTGAGTTTGATCCCCAGTACCGATAAAAAGGAAAAAGACAAAAAAAAAGTTAGAATTCTTTATTTATAGCAGGAAACCCTAGATGAACCTTGGTTTCTTTGGAAGAATGGTGTGTAGTTTTTCTAAACTGGGAAAACAAAATGGCACTGTTGACTTTTTTTTTTTGAGAGATACTACTAACTGAATAGAGTTTATGTAAAGTACTAAAATTTATTTAAATTAATTCCATAAAGCTTAGTGCTAAAGATCAAGGATAAGGGATTGGGAGTCCAATGTCAAAAGTTATATTGTCTCTTGCCATTATAATCATGTATTCTATAAATGTCTTAGTTACTTTTAACTCATCACTGAGACAAAATACCGGAAGCCCAAAGTTGGGAAAGGAAAGGTTTATTTTTTACAGTTTTTGGAGGTTTCAGTCCATACTTAGTTGGCTCCAAGGCAGGCGGGCATGGCAGGGCTGCAGTTCATGACGGCTGCAAAAAGCAAGTCAGAACCAGCAAGAGAGACACACCTTCTTCCTTCCATTACATTGCATCCTGGCTCCACCCCTAGGCCACTGTAGCACTCACACCCCCAATCCAAGCGGTAGACAATGAACCAATCACAAATGCACAATGCAAATGCATGAAGCCCGAGGGCCACCAACATAAATGATGATAATGAATCATACAGTTATAAACTTTATTCATACATATTTTTTGTAGTGCTGGGGATTGAACCTATATCCTTGCACATTCTAAGCAACTGCTTTACCACTGAGACACACACACCTTTAACCCCCAAACCTATTTTTAATATTTATACACTGGTCTCTAAATTTAACCTTAGGTCCTACTTCTATAAAAATGATCTTAAGATCAAATACAATGATATATACAACAATACTTTGCACAATATATAAGGTTGTTCAGATGGAGGTCTTTTCCTTATCAGTGAAACTACATACTAGATGAAATACCACTTACTGTTCGTTCGTTCGTTCGTTCGTTCTTCTTTCTTTCTTTCTTTGATATCGGAAATTGAACTCAAGATGTCGTGCTTGCCAGGCAAGTGCTGTGCTGCTGGCCCTTATCTTCTAAATTTGTTTCTCATTATAGGAAGTTGTAAATTTACCATTAAAAATTCACAAATCTGTTGGATTTTTTTTTAATGGTCATAGTTCACATGACAGAAGAACATATGTGGGGGCTGGGGATTTAGCTCAGCGGCATAAGCGCCTGCCTTGCAAGCAGACAGTCGTGAGTTCGATCCCTGGTACCAATAAAAATGAAAAAGACAAAAAGAAAAAGAAGAACATAATGTAATATGCCCCAATTTTGTTTTTATTACAACAATAGTTTGAAAGTACAGATAAAATATTGCCACTTCCGTTTTTCCCAAAGTGAACTGTTTCCTTGTATTTTTCAGGTGGTTTTATAATGTCTCATCTAAGTGAACCCATATCTAATGTGTCCTAGAGCATGTTCCAAAGAACCCTGACAATTCTCAGTGCCCTTTCAGGAGTCTGTGGATTCCTCACTTTTCCAATTTCATGTTTGTATGAGAATAGATGTGATCCATATACTTCAACCAATGTAAAATGTTATCAAGTTGAATATACGGGCAGACACAAAAATCAAGCTTTTAAAAGCCATATCTTACTTTGAAAATCTAGAAGTATTTTTTAAAAATGTAAACTACCACGTTTTTTCACTAAAAATTTTGTTTTTGGAAAATAGCTATTTTTCATTAAAGTACATATTATTTATGTAGATCTATAATGGGTGCTGTTTCATTTTTCATTATGAAAAAGTTACGATCCCATACAGGTTTTGTATCACATCTGAAGTTGCTAATTTGTATTACATTTGGGGATATAAAACCGAGATGCTTTGATATGAGAGTGTTTTGTTTTTTGTTCTAAGAATTCTGTCTTGGTTACTTTACTCTTGTTATTGGGCCAAAATACCCAGTGCCCCAAATGAAGAAAGAAAGTTTATTTAGTTCACAGTTTGTGGAGGTTTGAGTCCATACTCAGCTGGTTCCAAAGGCAGGGTGGAGTGGCTAAGGGGCAGTGTCCATGGCAGCAGCAAGAGATAAGAGTGAAGAGGACAAAAAGGGAAAAAGAAAGTACTCCTTGGTTCCTCTTTTGTATTGTATGTCAGCTCTGGCCCCTGGGCTGGTGCAGCACTCAGCACCAGCTAGACAAGAAACCAGTCACACCCTGGATTGCCACATCTGAAAGGGCATCCCCGCCCCCATGGCTGCCTGAGGCTGGGTGGGGTGTTTAAACATAAACCATAACACATACCTTCCATTTCTATTTATGTTTCTTCTTCTTCAGGTTTGTTTAAGCATCTTAAATACATGGCATGGGAGACCAGAAGAAAAGTGGAATCCTCAGACCTCAAGCTTTTTGCAAGTAAATAAAATTTCTCGTGATGATTTCCCTTACACAATAAAAACTATGTATGTTTGAAAAACATTTTAGTGACCAAGTGGAGATGTAGTAAAAAATATGGAATGTTAGAAAATCAATTCTAAATCATTACTGAATAGTGCAATAATGAGTAGTGCAGTGAAGTCTCATTTGGAGTTAAAGTCTCAAGTTGAGGCCTCAGGAAAAATCTACTTTTGAAAAAAGTTACCTTTAGAAAAAGCCTTAAGTTGGGCCGGCCTGGTGGCTCTGTAGTTCATTACTTTATATAGCATGTGTAGGGCTCTGTATTCAATCTCCAGAACATAATAAAATATACAGAATTGTTAAGATCCTTAAATATACTATGATGCAGTGAGATGATACAGCTAGTTCTTTTTCTCTTGTCCTAGCTTGCACTGTAGGACTTAAACTCACATGAATAGAATTTAGTACACTACTGGTGGTACATGTTTCTTCACATACCATCTGGTTTTTCTGTAATGTAGTTGAAGAATTGACTCCTCAGGCACAAAAGTGCTGTCTTGGAATTCATAAGCTTAGAATTCATAGTTATTACTTTGCAGAACACTTGACACACAAATTTCATAGTCCTTAATTTTTTGTAGTTTCTACAAATCACTTGAACATATACTATGAAATATGTTGCCTAATGCCCCATTTTTACTTAGGCTCTGTCTTAATAGTAGAATCCCAGCAAAGACATGGATGTCTTTCCACTGTGTCACTTGTTCACTTACGAAGTAGAAGCAGTTATCTTTGCTATGTGCTTGTTTATTTGGTTAATTGATGGATTGTTTTTCTTGTATTGAGGATTAAACCCAGACCTTCAGTTTGATCTACATTTCTAGCCATTTATTTTTATTCTTATCCTGAGACAGGGTTTTGCTAAGTTCCTCAGGCTAGGGTTGAACTTATCCTCTTGCTTTCTTTAGCCTTCTAAAGTGCTGGGGATACAGGTATGTACTACCAATAAGAGTTCCTAGGGTATTTCATTTTTTTGTGTGTTTGTTTGAGGCAGGGTCTCACTATATAGCCCAGGCTGGCCTCACATGAGGCAAACTACCTACTTCAGCCTCCCAAGTGCTGGGATTGCCGGCATAGGACACCATGCCTGGCCTGGCTCGTAGTATTTTAGACTCGTTTCGGTTATGTGTTTAAGAAAGATAACTTTAAATTATCCTCAAGTAAAGTATCCTAAAGTTGACCTATCTCAAAAGATTCTTTTTTTATATTTCTATCTTACATTAGATGAACAAACACAGGAAAGTACATGCATTTATTTGCTTTCAAAAAGATTAAATAAATATGCTGATATGTCACACAATAATAGGAAAACCAGTCTCATAAACTATTCTTTAAACTTAATTCAAAGAAATTCTAATCTCTGCTAATAAATGTTTTTTGGTAGAGAAGAAAACTTCACAATTTTTCAAATAAAGTTTTTCTCTAATGGAAGTACTTTTTGGCACACATCCATTCTTTATGTTCCTTCAGTGGACTGGGTTGTGAAGCTGAAGTAATTTTAAACCTTTATTTGAATCTACAACTTTTTAACTCAAAATTATATTGTGTACAAGGAGATGAGTTAAATAAAGAAATCTTTTCTTATAGACTTATGAGAGGCACTTAATACTTGTAGAAAAAAGAGGATTATAGTAAAGATTGTTTGAAAAGCCAGAGGACCAAAACAAAAACTGTCCCCTGGAAGGCTGTTTCAGCAGTGTCAGAATTGATACGGGACATGGTAGTGCATGCTTGTAATCCACCACTTGGGAAGTTGAAGTGTTACTTCAGGGTCTTTTTGTTTTGTTTTTGTTTTTGTTTTTGTTTTTCCTGTATCAGGGATCGAACTCACAACCTTACACTTGCCGGGTAAGCTGCTGAGCTAAATCCCTGTCCCCTTTTCTTCAACTCTGAGGCCAGCCGGGACTATATAGTTAAACCGTGTCTCAGGAAAAAAAGGAAGAAAGTATTCAGTTGTGTATATAAAATAGTATTTAGCAAAAGAAAAGTACTTTCCTTCAGTGATACATTCAGGTTCATAAAGCGTCAAACGTAGCTTTGTCTCACACCGGTTAAATCTTTTCCTCCTGTAACTGACCCTTGCCTCATTATCCTACATCTTACTTAATCATACCTACTTTTAATTCAGAAGTTTTAGGTTCAAAGGACCCATATTAAAGTCTTGTAAGGAGATACACACCTTCATTCAAGATGCTTATGTGTGGGGGCTGGGGATTTAGCTCAGCGGCATAAGTGCCTGCCTTGCAAGCAGGCAGTCGTGAGTTCGATCCCTGGTACTGATAAAAACGAAAAAGACAAAAAAAAAAAAATGCTTATGTGTGACATTGCATAATCATCGTGACTAATAACAGTATAATTGCTGTTGATCTTTTTTCATTAAAGAAATAGGCAGATGGCATCTGATGTTTTCCTGCCTTCACAAATGTTATATTAGCTGCTTGTAGTGGTATAGTAGCCCCAACTGCTGTATTAGCTAAGAATGAGCTCTCTCGATATATGTTACTCCTGGAGAAACAAGCCTTCAGATAAAATGCACGGGGTCAGAGGTAATCAAGAATGCTGAGAGCATGTTACCATTGTGAACTTCTAATAATAAGGATTTTGTGATACTGCTGCAGTTAATTTTTCTTAGACTGGGTATCTAAAACTGCCTTATGCAGTTCTCCTTGTGAGTGTTGTTAAAAGTACACAGCTACTATTACAGATGAAAAATCAGGACAATTTGGATACAGTAGTTATAATTGGTGTGGCAGCTGGCTTCAGTGGCAGGTGCCTATTGTTCCAGCTATTCAGGAGGCTGAGGCAGGAAGATTCCTTGAGCTCAGGTGTTTGAGACCAGCCAGAGTAATACAGCAAAACTTTGCTTCAAAAAAGGAGGTGGTATAGATGGGTAGAATATTAATTTATTTTGAGTAAAGTACTTTAAAGTCATAGTCATAAAAATCAATTTTGTGGTGATAGAAATACATGGAGATCCATACTGAGGTTATTTGTAAATAAAAAGAAATATACTTGAAGTACAAATGGGCCCATGTAATTCTTTATTTCCTTGATTTTTTAGGTGTTGGTGTCTGTCCAGTCTCTTATATTAGTAGCTGAGCCTTACTTTAATGAACCAGGATATGAACGGTCTCGAGGCACTCCCAGTGGTACCCAGAGCTCTAGAGAATATGATGGAAACATCCGACAAGCAACCGTTAAATGGGCTATGCTAGAGCAAATCAGAAACCCTTCCCCCTGCTTTAAAGAAGTATGTTCAGTAATACGTTATTAAAGACATTAGAGACGTATCTCATCACTAATATTTTTGCCTGTATATTTTATAGAATGTGATATATAAATCTTTTTAATTCTTAGCATTAACCCTTACAAAATCAATACTATAGTACAGATGAAGTTTAAAACCAAGTATATTCTGAAGAACATCTGACTATATTTTTAGGCAGTTATATTCTTTATTTTTTACTATTTAACATTTAAGAATAAATGAAACTAAGTTCCTCCCCTTGAAAAACCTGCATTTCTGTCACGTCAAGCTATGTCTTAACTCATTTTTCAATGTCCTGCGCATCAAATCCAGTGACTGCTAATGTAAATGCAGTGGTCATATTGGTGTTTTGCACTCATTTTGAGGTCTCTGTCTAATTATTTTTCTTTGTGGGTATTATTTCTCCTTTTCTTAGGGCAGAGAAGCTCATGACACAGTATAAGCTCAACCAGTACGGAGAATAATACTTCCATACTGATGTCCATTTTTTAATTTAGATTTGTCAGACAGACTGTTGCTACTTATGTATTTAACAGTTCAAAGATAGGATATTTTAAAATCCCATATGTAAGCTACAAGGAAATTTAACTTCATAAAATAAAAGTCATACCTGTAAACTAACCAGAAGATAAAGTGTGAAAACTGTGCTGTATTAAGGGCTCTCTTTTGATTTCTGCACCAATACCTTTGACATAAATATGTACTTATTTAGTTGTTCTTTTTTTCAAGGTTATACACAAACATTTTTACTTGAAAAGAGTTGAGATTATGGCCCAGTGTGAGGAGTGGATTGCAGATATCCAGCAGTACAGCAGTGATAAGCGGGTGGGTAGGACCATGTCTCACCATGCCGCAGCTCTCAAGGTGAGTAAGGCAGCTGCTACTTCCCAGTGCTGGGACAGAATACCTGAATGGTAACAGCCTAAAGAGGAAAGGTTTACTCTTAACTCCTGAGAAAAGGCGCATCCACAAAAAGCTGTTCTCTTCATGGTGTCTGGAAGCAGTGGAGTCAGGGAAGAACCAGAGGGTGAGGAAGGATGAGAGACAAAGTGTATGTCTCAAAAGACTGCAGTAACCTATTTCCTCCAGCGGGGACCCCTAAGTGGCCCATTCCACTGTGAACTCATTCACGGATGAATCCACTATTCAGTTTAGTACCTTCACAGTCCAGAAGCTTTTCAAAAGCACCTCCTTTGATTGCATGGCACTTGGGGGACATTTTAGATCTGAACCGTAAGTCTTGCCTAACATGTGTCCTGAAATTTGAACAAAATTTTATACTCACTGACCACCCGTGCCCACCACATGGTAAGAGGAGGGAGGCAATTAAGCATAAACTTATTTAAGTTGAGAACATTATAAATTGCTACCATAACGTCTAAAGAAAAGATACATTCTTTTGACAGTAGAGTCATAGTTCCTAAAATTGAAAATGGAACAGAGACTAAGCCAGCAGAGTTTTGTAGGGAGATATTTAAAGACGAGGATAACACACACCTTAGAGGAAGCAAGCAGTTTTGTTTTGTTGGGGATTTTTTTGAGACAAGGTTTTGCTATGTATCTCAGGCTGATGTTTAATTCTGTGTAGCCTAGGCTGGACTTGAACTTGCAAGAATCCTCCTGCCTCAGCCTCCTGAGTGCTGGGATTACAGGCATGTGCCACCTCGCCCTGCAAGCAGTTTTTCATTTGAGCATTTCCAGAATCAAAATGACAAATGTAATGGTTTTAAAGATTGTTTTTCTCTGTGTATGAGAATCATTCCTTGTAATAACCACGTTTTTTTCATGCCTTCAAATACTTACTCTTAATTTGCTTTGGGGCCTTTCATCCTCTACAACTTACTGTTTCTTACCCTTTTTTTTTTCCATCTCCAAATGGCTCTTTCATTCTAATTTAAAACTGTCTTCATTTAGTTAAGGATTTGTGGTAATTTTAGATATGATTTTTAACATGATCTCTATCTTCTCAGATTTCTATGTAGAAATTTTTATGAATGACAGACTATTTGATGTCTTGATGTTTGCTTCCAAATAAAATGAGAAGAGGAAACCAGTGTGGTGGTGTACACCTATAATTCCAGCACTTGGAAGGCTGGGACAGGAAGATCACCCTGCATTCGAGTCCACCCTGGGCTACATAGTGAGACTGTGTCTCAAAAAACAACAACAAAAAAAAAGCAAAAAGGAAAAGAGGAAGGAGAGGGGACCAGAGATGAAACCAAAGTGGCTGCTTATTGAGGCGGTTGAAGTTAGGTGGATACATGAGAATGTATTCACAGTTCTGTCCACTTCCATGTGTGTTTGAAATTATCCATTAAAAACTTTTTTTTGGAAAGAGGAGAACAGAGATAGTTGGTTCTGTTTTCCCTCTATGTTACACAATACTAATGTCACTTATTTCATTATCAAACAGGAGCAATTAATACTTCTTCCCTTTTATTTTTGTATTTGGCCCAGCTTTATATTAGACCATGAAATTTTCATGGAAGTTTTTAATAACATGGTGTGCCTACTTATTGGTGCATTTGCAGAAATCAGTCTTTTGTGCTGCACTTTTCATTTGTAGGCTGGTCTTTTCCTTACATTGTTAATTCTTCTAGTGTGTTTTTTCTTTTGTGGCCTTCAGAGCTATTTTATTTACTCTCTCCTCTTTTTCTCGTTATATCTGGACCTCCAGCTTTGTCCATTTACTCTTTTCTTTTTTCAGTTTTTTTGAAACAGGGTCTCACTATGTAGGTCAGCCTGGCCTTGAACTCACTATTTATTCCAGACTGGATTTGAACCCTTGGTGATGTCTCAGTCTCCCCCACCACACCCACCTTCCATTTACTGTTTTTTTGTTGTTGTTTTGTTCTGTTTTGTTTGGTGTGGTTTTTTGGAGACAGGGTCTCGCCATGCATTTCAGGCTGATCTTGGGTTCATTTTGTTCCCCAGGCTGGCCTTGAATTTACTTTTGTCTCAGCCTCCTGAGTGATGGAATTACAGGAGTGCACCACCCCGTCTGGTGTCTTAGTTACTTCTTACTCGTCACTGAGACAAAATACTTGATGCCCAAAGTTGGGAAAGGCAAGGTTTATTTCTTACAGTTTTTGGAGGTTTCAGTCCATACTTAGTTGGCTACAAGGCAGGCTGGCATGGCAGGGCCGCAGTTCGTGGAGACTGCAAACAGCAAGGCAGAAACCAGCAAGAGAGAAAGACACGTCTTCTTCTTGCCTTCTTTCAGCCATTATATTGTATGCTGGCTCTACCCCTAGGTGGGTGTAGTACTGACACCATCAATCCAAGCTCTAGACAATGAACCCATCACAATGCAGGGGCTAGGGATTTAGCTCAGCGGCATAAGCACCTGCCTTGCAAGCAGGTGGTCATGAGTTCGATCCCTGGTACCGATAAAAATAAATAAATAAATAAACAAACAAACAAATGCACAATGCAAACACATGAGGCCCGGGGGCCTCCGACACCATGAAGTCCTGCATCGTCTTCAAAAGCAATTCTTTGAGCTGTTTGGTCTTAGCTTTTCCTGAATTTCTAACATTTTCACTTAAATGCTTTGTCATTAAAATTAGAACTTAATCTTTCCTCAGATCAGGTTTTGTAGCTTTTCATATTAATTTTAACCTTTGTCTTAAAATCTTCAAATATTATAACTCTTATATCCAGCATAGCATAGTACAGTCCTGGAAATGCTATGCTACCCTGACCTGAAAATCTTCATCTCTTAATCAGTACAAATTTTGTCATTTTAATGCTGGAAGTGATGGGGCATGCCTGTAATCCCAGCACTCCAGAGACCAGTCTGCACTACAAAGTGAGTTCCAGGCCAGCCTGAACTGCATAATGTAACTCTGTCTGGGAAACAAAAACACATAAATTGTAACACTACCTCACTGGGGAATGCTAGTGAAGGAGCAGGGGTACAGCTGTGCAGATTGGGTCCACAATAAAGTCATCTGTCCCCCATCCAAGTTGGGGCCCAGTGCTCACAATTTTTCTTTTTCCTTATTTAATTTTTTTAGCATAGTGGAAGGGAAACCAGGGATAGGGAAATTTTGAGTTACCAGCATGTGAAATATACTTTGAACCTTTATAAATAATACAAGTGTGTGGTTGTCTTAACCATTTGCCACACCTCCAACTAAAATTCAGGCTCCAAACTCAAGAGTAACATCTTCCTCATTATGCTTATTTTCTTTATATTGTTAGCATCTCACAAATAAAAACTGTTGTGAACATATTGGTTAGTTTTCAAAGCCAAGTATTGATTGTGACTGATTTCCAAAGGCCTTGGTGAGATATTTGTGCTCATTTCTCTGTTTAGAAATTTTAAGCAAAATATATTTGCATAAAAACAACCATATATGAGCATCTTATACCCTTCTATAATGCAGCATGGAGTAATGCAAAGTTACTTACTCTCTAAGTAATCTTTTGTCTTTGTTGAGGTTTTTTCTTAATTCTAATAATAAAAATACTACATGAGACAATCTAAAACATTTTGCAGATGTTTCAGATAGGGCCTACTGCTTGATAAGTATTTGTGTCATTCAGACTGTTAAAATTTTTGTTTTTGTTTTTTCAGTGATACTAAGGCTGTAACTCAGGGCCTTGTAGGCAGATGCTCTGCCACTGAACTACAGCCCTAGCCTGGGTTTATTTTTCAAAATAAACCTTTCAAAAATATTTAAGGCAGAGGTACCTTATGACACAAAGAGGTTTCCATTTTTAATTTAGAACACTGTATCAGATTAGTGCTCTCCTGCACTTCACCAGTAATAGTTTTCTGTGAATAAGGGTCAGGGTGCTGGTAGGCTCTGGAGTTATATTCTACAAGGCTTTTCAGCAGTATCAATTATTTTGAGTGTAGAAATTTTTTACCACTTTTTTTTGTTTATTTACTTCCTGCTGTACTAAGTGCCTGTAACAGTGACTATCTTAAAGATGTGCTCAGTAAATATTTGTAGTTCAGATGCTGTAGATTTTGTTAAAAGCCCTTTCCTCCCTCAGCAATATTCTAAAATCCTTGAGTTTGTAGTTCTAACATCAGTGATTTTCTCCCATATAGCGGCATACTGCTCAGCTCCGAGAAGAGCTGCTAAAACTTCCTTGCCCTGAAGGCTTGGACCCCGATGCTGATGATGCCTCAGAGGTGTGCAGGGCCACAACAGGTGCTGAGGAGACTCTGTCATACGATCAGGTCAAACCTGGCAGCAGCAAAGACCTCCCGAGTGACTTCCAATTATGAACTGCATTGACCTGGACTTCATAGACACAAAGGCTTCGAAGCACAAGCCAAATATGTCAATATTTGTATGTAAGAAACTAATTATGTAATAGGTAATGAAACTGAAACTATACTATGCCCTTAAGGAGATCCAATTTAATTCAAGGTGATCTTTTATTTACCTGTATAAGAGTGTAAACTTTTTTGTGCTTTTATTTTTCAATTGTGAGAACCACTGATTGGTATGTTCAACAAATTTGTGTATACAAAGAAATGGATAAATCACTGATATATAAGGGAAACTACCTTAGGAAAGAATGTTTACTGAATGTTTATTTTATTTTTTTTTTTTTACTGTAGAGTGAGGGGTTGTTAACAAAGAATATATATTGGTCATTCTTACAACTACTATTTAAAGTCAGCAACTTTTCACTGAATTTGATAGATTTTATGTTTGGCCATAACTTCATGCTCATTTGATTTCTGAAGACCTCCTACATACACTTCAATAAAAGTTAAATGGACGTACTCCCTCTTTTTTGATTTACTGGTACATTTTTTAAAATAATAAATCTGACATAAATTGCATTACAGCTGGAGACTTGCACTTGTATGGATGAATTTATTACATTCAACATATTTAATTTTATGCCTTCTAATTCTAAGATGCAGAAAAAATAAATGAACATGATTTTATTCTATGCCAACATTTGGGCCTCTGAATGTATCCATTTATTTGAGTTTAAGTATATGAAAAGGAACAGTCAATTTGAAAAGCTAACTCTAAACCAGGTTTGCTTGTTTTTTTTTTCTTAAAGGGCTCATTTTTTCCTGGACTGTTTGGTTTTATTGCTGCAGTCACATGTCTGTATTAAAGTGGAGGCTCTGTGAGGTGAGAGGCTGTACTTCTCTGGTGCTGTTACAGTACATTCTGTACCTGCCATACAGGCTCATTTTCATGCAAATTCTTCCTAGAGCCAAATAAATAAAGACTTAGGTGAATTAGTATGTCTTGTTTGTAAAATAGTTTGCCATCGTGTGGAATGCTATTCTATAAAGAAAGAACTGAGTGCTTTCAAAACCTGAGCATGAGGGAACAACTGCTGTTTCTCCAGTAGCAATTACCATAAAGGAAAGCCAACATGACTTTTGACAATGTGTATCTATAAAATAAAGTCATATGTGGAATCCTGAATATGGAGTTTACCAGGAGAAGGTTTAATCTAAACAGTGATTTGCTTTCTGAAGAAAAAAGGCAAGCAGGGAACATGATAATCTGTCTTGTAACAAAGTGTAGAACTCTAAACATCAGCCAAAGTGAAACAAAGAGCCTGTGACCAGGAATAAGGTTTCAAAGCATATTAGCGGTAGGTCTGGTGGATAATGCTCCACACACCAATGTAGATAGAGCACACTAGTGACAAAACAGTGAAGTCCGTTTATGACAAGGAGAAAACTGTATGTTATCCACCGACCTGCTAACTAAAATCTAAATGTAAAATTACTACCAATAAGAAGTTAAAAGGGGGTGCTGGGGATTTAGCTCAGCAGCATAAGCTCCTGCCTGGCAAGTGTGAGATCCTGAGTTCGATCTCCGGTACCACACACACACAAAAAAACAAGGTAAAAACGCAATTGTCAGTCCCCCATGCTAGTTTTGTTGTTGATTGGCTGTGGTCTACCAGAGATCAGATGCTAATACTGTGTGAAAAACTGCATTTGGATCATTTTCTCTACCCCTCACGAAGCTCCATAAAATGAAAGTAGTGGTAACCATTCACTGCTATCAGATCCAGTTCATAGATTTGCGATTCCAAGGCTGGAAAGTTAAAATTTGAAATAGGTTACATGAAAACAATTGCATCTGATATCTTTCGTGACTTTGTATCAGTGAACATCTGAGCACTCACATTGTACTGGGTACAGGCTCCCCAACACAAAGATTATGAAACACAATGTCAGTGTAATATGGTAAGTTTTGTGGCAGACTGGTTCACAGGCTGCTGTTGGGATCACAGTGGAGGGGCATGGTTGGGCAAAGTGTTGATCAGGAAAGGCTCCTAAAGAAAGACAACTTGAGTCGAAGAATGTGGATAAAAAATTCAACAAGGCTGGGGGCTGGCGATTTAGCTCAGCGGCATAAGCGCCTGCCTTGTAAAGCAAGCAGTCGTGAGTTCGATCCCTGGTACCGATAAAAAGGAAAAAGACAAAAAAAAAAATGTTAAAAAAAAAAATTTCAGCAAGGCCAAATGAAGTTACCCGACCTAAGAGCACAGTTAATAGCATCATAGTAGTGGAATTTAAAAGGCAAAATAGGAATAGTACAATAGAATAGCAAGCAGTGGTGTAATTAGGGAAGCAACCTAGCCAGACTGTTCAAGGAAAATCAGACTGTTGGGATACAAGGGGATCAGTCAGTTCAGAGTCCATTCTGGAGTCCAGGTGGTAAATCAAAAGTTACAGCCATTAAAGGGTGGACAGGGAGACAGAACTTACAAAGCCTGAGGAAAGCGGGGTGGGAATGTGTGTATGTGTATATAAATCTGAATGATTAGCTTTCATATGTCTACAAGCTGCAAAAAATTCGGACAGAAGGCTAAGTATGAAGACCTTGATAAAGGATACAACAGAGCACAACAAAGGGTGGCCTGGGTTTTAAGTCACATACAGAAATCATGGAGACATGTAGAAACCATTAAACCAAATCAATCTGGGGCTGGGGGTTTAGCTCAGCGGCGTAAGCGCCTGCCTTGAAAGCAGGCAGTCGTGAGTTTGATCCCCGGTACTGATAAAAAGGAAAAAGACAAAACCCCAGTCAATCTGCACACAAGTGATTAGCTCTGAAGTTATCTTAACTGCCACCTCCACCCTCACTGTGGTGCTAGGAATTGGGCCAGTTGCAGCACTGTTTAATCAACTGAGTAACACCTCCAACTCCTAAAAGAAACAGATTTGTGTTCATCTTTGATGTCTTGTATGACATGTCAGATGAGATGGTTTTAGGTGCAATGTCCTCTGTCTCATACTACTTGAGGCAAAGGACTTATATGTTGAACTTTTGTGGAGTGGCAGTGATTTGTGAGCAGTGATTGGCGTAGCATGCTGCAGTCTACTTAAATATGGGTTGGGTCATGTCTAGACATTATCAACTGGTCATTTATTCCTTAAACTAAAACTATCTAGAAGATAAACTTACATAGATACATTGTTTCACCACATTATATGCTTCACCAAAATTAAGCCAATACTTTGGTAAGTTCTTACACCTATAGGTGATGCTAAAATTGTATGGATTCACTAAAACACAACTTCAGGTATTGAGAGGTAATGAGATTAGGTAGTCCGAAAGATTCCATAATCCCAGCACTCAGGAGGCTGGGGCAAGAGGATCACTGAGTTCTAGGCCAACCTGAACCTCATAGTAGGGAGCCTGTCTCAAAAGAAAACTCCAGAACATAAAACCTTACCAGCCACGCCTGCTATTCAAGAGGCTAAGGTGGGAGGAACACAAGTTCAGGCTTAGCCTGGACAGCTTTCTCAAAAACGGCTGGGGATACAGCCACTGGTAGAGCACCTGTGGGTCCAGTCCCCACTTCTGGGCAAATAAAACAGATATGTCCATTGGATTGACCTGGTCAGGGGAACAAACCCAGCTTGTCCTGGGGAGTGGCATAGAGCTGGAGCTGGGAGGAGACAGGACAGAGGGCTGGCCTGCAGAGCCCAGGCAAGGCTCCTGCATTGGTGATTCTGTCTTGGGAAGATGGTCAGCATGAAAGGGCCTCCCGTTCATGTTTTCCATCTTGACATTTTTTTCACTGTGGTAAACTAAGAGAAAGTTGGGAAAATACTGGAAAACAATGCAAAATTATTTCTTGGTCTCCATTTGCTCTGCTTTATGTAATTGAGATATTTTTGGTATTTTAAAAAAGCAATTTTAGGGGGCTGGGGATTTAGCTCAGCGGCATAAGCGCCTGCCTTGCAAGCAGGCAGTCGTGAGTTCAATCCCTGGTACCGACAAAAAGGAAAGACAAAAAACAAAAAAAGCAATCTTAAATTATAGAACACAGTTTTATCATTAGGAAATAGAATGCCTGCATAAGATGGATGCATTGAATTTGTCCAACCCCTTACCTGTTGACCATTTAGGTTATTTCTCTTATTATAAATAATGCTATAAAGAGCATTAGCTACATTTGACTTTTACCTTAAGATACGTCCTATAAGTAGAACTGCTAGGTCAAATGTTTTGGTATGTAATGACCAGTTGCTTTTAAGAATTTATAGTTGTTCACATTGCCAGGACCTAGCAATATTGTTCTACCATGGCCTGCATTGAAGATGATAATTTTTTAATCTTGCATTTGTATTCCCAAACATTGTAATATTCCTTCAACCTTGTATATTAGCCACTTGAGTTTCTAATTCTGTTAACTATCAATCTATATCTTTTCTCTATTGCTTGCATATTGTCATAGGGTAGTATAACATGTATGAGGTATTTGTAGAATAGTTTTGTCACTTGTATATATTTTGCCCAGGTGACCTTAAATCTTGTTTAGTTTTTCTTGGAAGTTTTAATTATGAAGTCATCTGTTGAGTGTTTCCTCTCTGTGCAAAGAGGAGAGAATTATCTGTTTTCTAACTGAGATTGTTTTTGGTATTGGTGTAGGCCTGCAGGAGCAACGCTGAGCCTCGTATTGTGGGATCCAAGGTCAGAACTCTCTTGGAGCTCAGACAGAGTTCTTGGGACTGCCCTCATTTATTGGGTTCTTAACGATTCAGGAAAGAGCAGGAAGTGGAGGGCACATCTGAAGCAAAAGCCCATGAAAATGACCAAAGCCTTAAATTAGAACAAAGACATTCTAGGCACTAAATCTTGCTGATTAAGAGAATGGTCTTATCTCTTAACATTAGCAGTTTATTGGTCTTGAGTGCTGAGTGAGCATCAGTGCCTGCTAGTGCCAGTGCCAGTGCCAGTATTGTCTTGTTCCGAAACTGTGAATATGAGCTTTTGCAACGCACCCAGAGCACCCTGTGACCAGCAAGTGTCTCTGCTCACTGTGGTCTCCGAGATAACTGCTATCCCCATTCTTGGCCTCTTTCTTGCAAGATCCTAAGGGCATCTGTGAATCTCCTGCTGCATTATCCCTGCAACTTCTGTTCTTTGCGTTTGCTTTCCCCTAGCTTTGCTACAGGCTTTGTTCTTTGGTTTATCCCTTCCTCCTTTTACTTTGCTGTCTGCAAAGTCAGCAAACCTGCTACAGAGTAATTCCCCTCTGGAACCTTTTCTGTCTTCTGAGGAACCAGCTGAAGCCCCTTTAGTCAGTCTGTGCATGTTTCCTGTGCTGTCCCTGTCATCTCTAGCCATACAAGTGTGATATGTCCTTTTATCTGGCCAGTTTTCAAATTTTAGTCCCATCATGTTTTAAATGTAAATTCACAAATAAGGGAAATGAATTTTCTTTTTTTCTTTTTTCTTTTTTGTCTTTTTTGAGACAGGGTCTTGCTATGCAGTTCAGACTGGCTTTGAACTCACTTTGTAGCCCAGGCTGGTCTTGAACTCACAAAGATCCTCCCGCCTCAGCCTCCTGAGTGCTGGGATTACAGGCATGAGCCACCACCAGCTGGGAAATGACTTTTCAAGCCCAATTCCATCACACTTAAGGTAGTCTGGGGGGAAATTCACCTTCCCTTCCATCCCCTAGTAACAGCAGCTGCTGCCCTGAAGTTAGGCAAACAACTGCTTCTTCCTTTTATTCCAAGTTAATCTCCCCAAGAAATCTAACAAAGCAGAGCACTTCTGCCCTTGAGATGTGACTTGAAAAAATCCCTCTACCAAGAAAGAGACTCTTAGTTCTCATGGTAATTCTATCACATTCTACCTAAGCTCTGCAATTTCTACCTGACCTGCAAAGGCTGACCTTTAAGCTTTCAGTCTAATGAAAAAGAGGGGACCATTAGAATTGATCACTTAGAAAAAAATCAGTCCTCCAGTATTTAAA